GATTAGTTGACAAGATTTGAAAGGGCCACAGTGGGCAAATTTAGCCAGGACATCAGGGTACCACCCCTACTCTTTAGAAAGACACCCAGATATCTTTTATGACCTCAGAGAGTCAGGACCTCAGTTTTACATCTCATTCAAAGGACAGCACCATTTTTACAGCACAGTGTCCCTGTCACTGCATTGGGACATTGGGATCCACACTGAGCACAGGATTGGCTACCCTGTAGCCCACACCAACACCTCTCCTAGCAGCAGCCCCGCTGAAAGTCTATCTGTGTAAGTGTATCTGCAGAGCTTCATAAGAGATACGCAAAACTTGATGTTCATTCGCAGTCATACATTTAAAAAGCACTCTATAAAGGGTCATACATAAGAGCATTACACAGAGCTCTCAGGAGCACTAAAATATCCATGTGAAACCCATACTTTCATGAGCCACACATAAATCCCTAAGCTCATAGCTTAGGTAAGGCCACTCATAGGAAGCGCTGCATGCATTGTCAATGGCTCACTAATTGCGCCCGGTGGTTTGCACAGATGGCTCATGGGAGTTTTACTTAAACAAAAATATTCTGAGGGCAGAATGAAAAATGATTGGTTCAGAGAGATAACCAATCAGATTGTGGAGGAGGTGGGTCCAAGCCATCTGATCGGTTGGTCCCACCTCCTCTAGTTTCTTGGACCCACCTCCTCCACAATCTGATTGGTTATCTCTCTGAACCAATAATTTTTCATTCTGCCCTCAGAACATTTTTGTATAAGTAAAACTCCCATGAGCGCACAGATGCAGCTCCACATGCTTGCGCATTTGTGGAATTTTCTGAATGGCCATTAGCCGCATCTCTCATGAACTCCCCTGTAGCCATTACGTTTTGACCACGCACCTTGGGATTAGCTAGGCCAGTAGCATTGGGACAACTTGCAGCATCCTCTTTCAATCTATTGTGGAAGGGAAATGGACCCCATCTGCAAAGCAGCAGGTCCCTACTTAAGCCTGTTTCAGCTTGTTTACCTCAGATTCCAATCCAGTTGACACCAGGGGTATTAAGGGGTACATAATTATTTTTTAGTTTATGAGTAATTGTTACCTTAAGGCACTTCTGTCTGGGGAACGGCAAATCCTATATTTCTGACATTGAAAAGTTAAAGGGCAACAATAACCATACATCGTGTCCCTGTATAGAACAGGCAGTTAAATTGCTCGGGCAATTTGCATTAGCATGGTAATTGCAATCCATCCACATAGTGGTAATAAGTACTGTATTAAATCTGAAGGGGTTTAATGGCTATAGAGTACTCTAAGGCCTGCACCTTAAGTCTGTTATAGGGTATCTGCATGCCAAAACAGATTTGCATCCTTTAGATCATAGAAAAAAGGAGGAAATCACTTTATGAGAGGACATCATAAATGCAAATATCATGTATATTTATACAAATACTGTGATGGATGCCAGCATTTTTATTGGAATTCAGCCTATATTCAAATTCTAATATATAATTTTTGCAAAGTGTTTATTTATTTGACAAAGATACACATTTTTTGGAGCATTCGCGTAGGGTGTCACGTTGGGAAGCCTGACACGGATATTTTGATCCCACACCATGATACTCCATCCATCCATCCATCCGCTTCGAATTGCTTGTCATACAAAGGGTCACAGTGATACCATCATACTCTAACAATCTCACTCATGCCGAGCCTCTTTGGCCAAAGGGCCGTACCCAGAGAGGGACTCGCCTTCCCTTTCCATTCGTCTTCAAAAAACAGGTTCAGCGCAAGATAAATGACCCTGATGGTGTGATACGTAAAAGGGGTTTTACTAAGCCGGCAGAGTGGGACCCGGCTGCTTCCAGTTGCATGGTTGGCCGTAAGAAAAAAAAAACACAGTCCTGAAAGGTTGACCTGAGGTGTCTAGCAGGGGCTTTGTTGTAAATATTGGGCAGCAGACAAGCTGGCTGCTTGAGAATAGCGAGTGGGGGGGCGTGGCGGCTCGGTGCCAGGGCGAAAACGAGCTGTATGCCTCTGCCAGGGGACACGAGGGACACGGGTACTCTGGAGCTCTCTGCGGTGGCATGTCTCCGTGGTGACGACCCCCCCCCCACACACGCGCACGTGTACCAATTCCAAAGAGCTGCATCTTTATGCACCTGCTGATTTAGCATTTGTTTCCAGTTTTAAATGCAAGGAGGCAGCGCAGCAGAGGTGAACGCTAGTCCTGAGAGTTAATCCGCGAGTCAGCGAGACGCAGGGGAACCTCCAGGCCGCTATCCAGATAGATGGTTTTTCTCAGGCCTGCCGTCGTGGGGAAAGCCCACTCAGGTGCCTGTCCACCCCGAGACCGGCCAGGCTTGATCCGGAGCCTCCAGCCGGCAGGCCGAGCGTGGCGTTAGCCCCCGGCTCTGGAGGGGCTGCTGTCAATCCCGCTGCGAACATCTGCACCAGCTGCTCCAGAGGACAGGGGGCGAGCGGGGAGCTGCCAATGTTGATTGCTGGCTCGGCGCAGTAATTAGAAAGCGCCGTCAGTCAGCACGCAGATGAGTGTGCTGTGGATGCTGGGATTTAGTGGCGATGTTTATCGCGGGATGACGGATGAAAAGCGATGGCACAGTGGTCACTTCTGTTTGAGGACCAGATGCAAGGTCTGGCAGCAAAGTACCCAAACATTTCATCTGAACATCTTCAGGGGCATAATATTACACCTACCATCTAATAATACAGACAAAAATGAAAATCTATACTGTCTAAAAAACAGATCTATGGTAAACAATACTACTTGTTAAGGAACAAGTTAAAAGTTAAATAACTCTTCTGATTTATCCACCCTTGACAAAATAAATTTGATCACGTTTTAAGCTGCATTTATGAAAATACGTAATTCCAGGGTAGTGCTTTGCTCAATAACACATTATTAGTCTTTCTGAAGTCCTTTTTTATAACTGTGGTTCTCCACACGCCTCGATTAATTGGATTAAAATCACAAGAGGCGGCATGCGGGGCAGCGAATCCACAATAATCTTCCCACAACCAAAATTGCTGATGCAAAACCCAAGGCTCGTTGCGATAATTAATGAGACAAACGCTGGCAAACATTGGAAGCGTGGTCGTCTGCTTGGCCGTTTCCTTCAAAGTGACAAGGCTGGATTAGACGGTACACATGTAAAGGATGTATCGCCATGCCTTCCGGCACATTCCAGGGTGCGCTGTCAGGACGCAGAAGTCTTGTCGGGAACAAGTTGTCTCTCAAACCGTTCCCAGATCGGCCGAATCGTTAGCCTCAATGAACGAAAGCGAGATGACGGCATAAATTCGTTTGAAGCAATCTGTTCATCTCTGTTTTTGGTGCGTTTAAGCTGAGAACTCTGGCGACGCTGTAGTACCATTCCCACGCACTGGTGATGGCCGCTTATTTCACTGAATTAGCCGTGACTAGGGCAGTCAGAGCCCGCTCTCTGAATATGTAGGTGTGTTTTATATCACCGTGTCACATTGAATGTCGTGCGTATTTAACGCTAAGGGGGAGGTGAGAGGATCAAGTTGCTTTTATTAGGCTGATGATTGGCTCATCCGAACAGACCTTAAAAAAAGAAGTGTTTAATGGATTTTTGTGAGTCATGCTGTCTGGGTTAGAATGGCTATGCTAAACCTCTCTTCGACTTATCGTGAAACACCTTTTTTAGGGACAGTAAGGGGAGAAATAGTGCATCCTAATTGAGTTCATTCATTTCCTCAGCAAATAAACGCACCATACATCTATCTAGGGGGACATTTGTACCCAAAATTGGTAGCATGAAAGTAATTAATTGTTATACCCATGGAGAATATTTTAATGATTGAGTCATCATGTGTTGACCTAATGATGTCCTTTCACTATGTATTTTAATTAAACACCGTAATCTGATTTGCCCTTCACATCTCCAACTGCATTTGCCTGGGAAAAAAAACACAGAATATTGAGGGAACTGAAAAATGACATTTTCATAATTGCGGTCTGCTACAAACCTCAGGTGATTGGACAAAAATTGACTTGGCTTGAACAGCATAAAAAGAATAATTAAGCACGCGTCTGCCCATTAGCGGCACAGTGTGAAACGGGCATCCCCGCTACTGTCACGTTTACTCTGGCTTTCCGTCCGTTTGTGGTAATGGCGCTTCACCTTTCCGCGTACGGGATCCCATTCCGGTTTGTCGGCGAATGACAGAAAATCGCCAGGGGTCAAGCATTTCGGTGTGATACGAAAATTGTTTTTACACCACAGACACCCCCGAAACGTCTGAGCCTATTAATTCTCACCAGTAGTCACGGGATGCGGCTGCCGGAATAATTTTGCCATCCATTTTTTTTAATTGCCCCCAACCGCCTTTTTCCATTCACGTCAGACTGTAATTAGGATTTCTGTGCGCCGATTCTCTGAATTCTCCTTCCAGAATGTTCCCTGTTGACTACATCGCATGTATATATTTTATATGAACTTGGTATTATGCATGCAACACACACAAAACATAAAAGCAATCAGATAGAGATATTTCTTTGTGTTTTGCTGCAGTCTGCAGGGAATTGCATCAAAATGGGGGGGGATGTTAAATAGGTATGTGAAATTCTGCTCTACAGTATTAATACAAATATTTAAACATTCCAATATCCAGAAGTGCATTTTTTAGTCTTCGCTGAATCTGAATGCCGTTATTATGACCTGGTTGTGTGTGTTGATGGTATATGTACTCTTACACAGATCTCTAACACATGTCGGTCTGTATGGCACACCTCTGAAGATTTAAGGGGGAGAAGAAAGCCCCCCAGCTAGACTGTCCATCAATTCTGGAGCTATTATCCACTTTCTGCAGAGTCAAGGTTGATGCTGGAAGCATCTTCCCTTGGCATTAAAATGAAATGTAGTCAAGCTATGTGTTCTCCAAACAATAGCTCCTTTTATGTCCCGTTCCTGGGAGAAGGTTCTGGAATGCTCTGACACGGAACTGTGCATTCTCTTCCTTTCAGGTTTCATTTATACCTGCGGAGGGACATTAAAAGGGAGGAACGGTACCATAGAGAGCCCTGGCTTTCCTTACGGATATCCAAACGGCGCAAACTGTACGTGGGTCATTGTCGCCGAAGAGGGGAACAGGATCCAGATTGTCTTTCAGTCGTTTGCGGTGGAAGAGGAATACGACTTTTTGTCGTTGTACGACGGTCATCCACACCCAGCGAACTTCAGGACCAGGTGAGTAACCTTCAAAGCACCTGACCGCCAAGGTTCATTTAACACGTTTGGTACTTCAAAGGTGCAAGCTGATGCCCCCTGAAAGCTCACGTTGATGAATTGAGCTGTACAAGTGAGCAGAGGAGAGCAGAATAAAACTTTCATGTGCCTTTAGTGGTGATTCATTTTCACCTCCGATCTAAATTGAACTCTGGCTTTGGAGGAGAATTCTCTCATTAACTCTACACATTTGATGACCAGCAGTGATAAAAACCAGTCTACTGTAATATTTGGTGTAAATGGAAACAAGATAGCGTGCATCTTAAGCCGTCGGCTCATATTAAATAGCCACAGAGAATTCTCCTAAGGTAATTGTGTACAAAAATGCGTTTCCCTCTCATTAGAGGACATCATAATTGCATCACATTATGCTAATGTGTCCAGAGCTCCAACACACATCTTTCAAAAAATTTTAAGGCCATAGACTGCATGTTTGAATTGTTGCAATGTTTGTTTGTGCATGTCCAAAAGAGGGTGCTCTTGTCAGCATGCCTTAGGGAAGCTCTACCTGGCCTCAGATATAGTTGCCTTTGCCGGCAACCTGCTGCTGCCCCCTAGGGGTGACACCCTGCAGGATTCTGGATGCATCACACATGTATGCTGTCCAGGTTTCCGCCAGCCAGTGAGGCAACCCCCAGTGCTGGGGGGGGGTCCCATGATGTGGAACGTCGGCCATCTGTAGCACTTCAGATTTAAGGAAAAATACATAAACAAACATAGAGACGTTAAAGCGACTGTCCCTTGGGAAGCGAAGTTGAGGGCGTAACCTAGGAACGGTGGAGGAAGACAGATGTTTGTACGTGCTCATACACAGTGAAGGATTTGGCGCATCTCTACCTCGTATCAGCAGCTGAAATGGCATCTTATGCAGTTACACTGAATGCGTCTTCGTGAAAGGCGTTTACGAGCATCACGGCTGCCATTTTTCCGTTACGGATGTCAGTCGTGGAAACGCCGTCACCATATTCCTGAGTCAAGACCCAGGCAAATAAGGGCGTAGATCGATATGATTCTGATTAACACCTTAATTTGTTTTAAATCTGATTTAAATTAAGCATCACCCTGTCCACTCAACATGCCCCCACGAGTTAAAGAGCTGCCTTAGCTCCCCCCCCCCACCCACCCACCGTCATCATGAAGGAGGGTTCTATCGGGGGGGAGAGGGCGGGTCTGACAGCAGGGCATGGGGGTGGAGTGGCTGGAGGGAGTTGGGAGGAAGTAACCATGGTGCCAACTAACTGACACCCCTATGACTCAGTTTTACATCAACTGTGACTATTCATGTTTCCTGCCTGTAATGTTGTAATAAGCATTGTACAGGAAATCTGTGCCACATACAAAGGCCAATCTGACATCCGCCCCAGTGTCACCCCAGAACACCTTAAGTTGTCCATACGTATGTAAGGGTGTCTGTAATTGATTGGAAGTTACCTCGAAATATTTACGCATCGCTTTAAATTTACGCATCACCATTTAGAAAGGGCTTAAGCATTAACCGAAGACTCTAAACGAATTAGAGAGATGTCTGGGAGATACTTTGGTCTGTATCCAGTCCCGTTTCACCAAATGCCAAATGTGAAAGGCCTTTTTAGGTCATGCGGAAAACAGAAGGTGGAAATCAGTCATTTTGGATTGGGTAGCACCAAAGATGGACATCCAGGAGGGTCCTAGTGTAAGGTAACTGTAGATACTCTGTGCATAGCGTGCAGAGTGTTATTTACGAGCAGACTGATGATACACAGATGGTTCTCTGCTGCTCGGGGCACATTAAAGTGTGAGAGTCATTCAGCATTGGACAGTGACGTGTTTGGCCGACAAGAGGCAACAGATCACTCATTTGCTTTTGTTTTTTAAAGCATTAAAATTCACATCTTTAAGAGTGTGCGCTGTATCGATTTAGCGGTTGTGGATTGAGAGCGTCTGCAAAGTAATGGACCGTGAGGATTCATTTCATCTTATTCTTCCTTTCCGCTTCAGACAAATTCACAGGAACAAGCCGCAGCCCGGATCAAAAGCTAACGTGCTGCTCGCATTCGGAGAGCCGCACCTGCTCCTGTATGGGATTACTGTCGCTCAAACGATGCATGTAAATTCTCCTCAGATGACTAACTCTGCAAAAGATGTGGGGGGGGGGGGGTTGTGGGTGACGTTTAAAAATGGGGAAGGAGGAGCAAAATCCACAAGGTGCCGTTTGCGGGGTTTGGCACTGTCAGTCATCCCCTCCCCCCGCATACATCGGCTCTCCACGTCTGTCACCACCTGCTAGCTGTGAGGAACCTCCCGCTCTGCAGAGCGGATGCCCCGGTCTTGCTCGTCAGGTCTGTCGCCATTGGCATCTTGGCGCAGTGAAGCTTCCAGAAGCCCAGGGAACGGGAATCACATGTTCATCGTATGTACATGCAGAGGGGTCTTTAAGGCAGGCCTTGCAGAAAACGGCGCTGGGTGACGCGAAGCCTTTTCAGCTTTTCGTAATTCTTCCTGCAGTCAAATCAATTACAAAAAACCTTTACAGAGATTTAGGAGCTGAGGGACATCCAACTGCTGATGGAGACTCACGATAGCTGCAATTTACCATAAAGGGCATATTTGCTGTTTGCTTTGCTTTAAGCTTACTCCTGTATGCCTAAGTTGGAGCACAGACAAAGGATAAAGATTGTTATTTTGATATTGTCATGGATAAAGGGAGATTTACAGTCAACTATCTAACACATAAATATTTATGAGAGGTAAGGTATGCACCGCTTATCAATAGAGTCACTTCAGCTACTTTTGCTGCCACCCTGTGGTACACACTTGTAATGCACCTCAGGTTAAAAAAAATTAAAAATCATACTTGTTTATTTAGGGACCAGCCTCCATCTTTGCGTACTTTAAAAACCATGATTGATAAGGTTATCTACTTTAGTGTAACTTTTCCAACTTACTACAACCTTTATATTATATAACAAAAGACTTTCATAACCATTTCTTCTACATTAGCCTAGTAATAAATTAAGCGAGTAATAGCGTTCAGATAAGCTATGAGTTCATTATTCATAATTAAGCTAATAAGCTTGCATAGTTCCTGGTGGTATAATATATACAAAATATACATACATTAAATATAAATACACTCCTTTAACCTTTTTATTGATCTTTGACATTATTTGATTTTAAAAACTTTGCTTTAATTTTTATTCTCCGAAGATGAAGGCTGTGTTAAGTTCACTCCGGGTGCTTCAATATTTTTGCAGTATTTATGCAAATCAACAGTTCAACAAAACAGAAAGATATGTCGGTTTAATGTTGAGGTCTTTGGTTAGTCTGCCTCGAAAGTGTTTTCCAATTAATATTTGCCTTGTGAAAATGTATGCAATAAACCACAAGTTTTCTGTTGCCTGGCTGGATTTCAATTGAGGCCCTATCAGGCAAACTGTAGGTCCCGAGTTCATTACCATGCATAATAACTGATTAAAACTACTTGTGTGTGCTGAGCATCCTGGCTCAGAAACGATGTTGCTTGTCCCCCAGCTGGGTGCTACACATTAGTGCTGGATAAAGTAAGTTATCCCTCAGAAACAACCTAAAGACAACTGGGATTCCTCATTACCCCGATCATCAAGTCTCAGTCAAGCTAGCATGGAGACAGCTGTTGAGAAGAAGCTACGGTCTGCCACAGCTGACGGCTTGTGGCTATCTATATCCATTGTCGGAAACGGAGTGCAGCTATTTGCAGACATAAATTGTCGCTGTCTTTTGTTTAAAACATAAGGCGCTTGATTGTCAGGCCATGGCTTCTTGGGGCGGCGTGTTTCCTAACCGCCGCTAGCGAGGCGCCAGCGTTTCTGACGGCACTTTGTGACTCACCTTCTATTTACACTGTGTGACTGCGGCTGCTTCCTCCGGAGCGCCAAACGGCCAGGAACGCATGACGTCGAGACCCAGGGAGGCTTGGCCAGAGATGCCCGCAGGCCCCGGTCCAGTAAACCGCTGTAAATCAAGAGACATTGCCTTGCCTGCAAGCTAAAGTTAAGCATTTGGAATTAGCGGTACACAGAGGAAGTGCTTCTGGGCCGGCGTTAAACGATCATTTTACTCCTATACTCTCAACACATTTAAAAACAATAAAGCTATTGTTTGCTGATAACGCTGTTGAAATCTACAGTGCATGAACTGCCTGCGTTTGTTTAATGGAGTCTAGTCAGCATTTTCAGTTTAATTCTGTCTTTTCCCATTGTTTAGTTAAACAAAAGGGATGAGCAGACCAGGTAATTCGTTTGTTTTGCTTAAATTTCTTGGTTCGTATGAAATTAAGGGAGTCAATAATATGTGTTAACATAGTGACCTGTGCTTGTTTGTGCTGAAACATCAGCTGGTAACAACCCACCGACTATTAATTATTGTGTGTAATGCCATCACACTTAGTGAGCTTGAGATGAGAGTTAACAGGAGCCAAGCAACATTAACTGATTAGTTGTAGTCATGGCTTGTTTTATTGATTATACAGCATTGGTTAAAGGGCTACGTTGCTAATACAGAAGGTAGAATTATAGCTATGGTAGCTATGCACAAAGCTATGTAGCCAATACAGTAGGTAGTATTGTGCCTCTGGTATCTGTGTATAGGACTATGTAGCTATTACAGAAGGTAGCTTGGACTTCAGTGCTGTCAGCTTAATAGAAGCCCAGCTCTGTAAATGGGTGTAACAACATCATCATCATCATTATCAACAACAACAACAATGATAACCAAACAGTTCTCTATAAACCAACAATCTTTTAGAAAGAGTTTCAATGAAAGCCCACTCACATTTTGTGGGTCTTGCACCATCAAATAAGAGGGCTTGTTGTTTAACGCCATGTTCTTCTAATTATTATTATTCCATCCATTTTCTGAAACCACTTGTCGTACAGGGTCGCAGGGGGTCTAGAGCCTAACCGAGGATGAAGGGCCAACCCATCACGGGGCACACTCACACACCA